ATGTTTAAGTGTGCGCGTTATTAAATACGGATGGTTATAATGTACAAGACGTCTGTAGTTTATTACTTTGAATTTGAAATGTAATCGTCAGTAATAACAGAACATTCAGTATAATAAATTAAATAACACATATCTGAGAGGGTGATAGAGCAGATTGTTACCCCTCGAAAAGACACAGTTGGCAATGTTTTCTCGGGGTAACAATCTGCTCTATCACCCTCTCAGCTATGTGTTATTTATATAATATCAAATAGCCTAGACTGGTGGAGAATCAATATCATATGACCAAATGTATCACGATTAATGTCCCACAACTCTTCACGACTAATATGAAAATTGTGCAAAATTACGAACAATTATCAACAAACCATTACAAACATTATGTAATACCAAACTTTGGGTCAACTCATTTTATCTGGAATGCAAGCAGGGAGGTTTCTCAATTACAAATACATTAAAGTTGATCAATTGTTCTTAAAGAAATTTATATTTAATGAAAATATATGTATACACAATGGAATAATAAAAAAAATCATCGCTTTAGAACACTAAAGTTATATGAAACTTCAAATTTAAAAAAAAGTTGGATATGTTTATATATATACTTGAATGGGTAAGTTTTACTATAAAACAAGCGTACGTAAACTTTCTTGTAAAAGCAAATCCTTTATATTATCAAAATCTTCATATATGTACTGCAATTGAATTACTGTCTTCTCGTACACTAATTCGCCGATGTTTTTCAGTATGAAGTGACCTTAACTACGAGACCTCTCGGCAGAATTTCGGCCACCGCACAGCGCAAGTGCGGGGGAAAACTGTGATGAAAGCATGGAAACAAACGTGCACTGGAAGGTTAATAGTAATAACTGATTCATACAGAACAAATTTGATACAGCAAATCATTTTACAACTTTTAAGGAAAAGTTTAAATAACATAGAACGCATTAAAAATGTATAAAAAAAATATACATCATATGGCTCTATCAATTCACTTATTTGTCACAGACTGCACATGCTCTGTGTTGATTGTTTATCAATATCACGATGCCGTTAGATAAATTTCGGCAACATTCTGGTAAAATAATTGGCTTGCGATTAACAATCACTGAATGAACTATTATTTGTCGATAATATGTTATAGATTCGTAATAATTCTAAAGATGGTGAATACAGGACTTAGTCAGTATGGTGTGCATGCATTGGTGCAATAATTTCGATAACGTTAAAATTACAAGAAATTCGTTTTATATGTCTTTATTATAAGATATTTTTTTAATGTTTAATTTATATACAAGGATATACATTGTACATGTACTCTAGAAGTTGTTATTATCTTTACCTTTAGATTATTTGAATGATTTAAGGGACACATTGTGGAATTAAGTGACTGCATGATTATAAACATTTTAACCAACCGAAGGTAAAAAATAAACAGGATCTTCCTGTTAGATGGAGGGTGTATCAACTCATGACATTCTAATTATTGATAGCGTATTTTTTTCTAATTTCAAGTTACGATGTTTCTAATGTGAATTTCTATTTTCAATTTAACGACAAATGTGTTCTTTAATTTATCTTTAAGTAATAAAGAAACCGAAATGTTTGTTTTTGTTAACCAGTCTCAGAACAGGTGTAGATATTATTGGAATCATTTCCGTCAACATGAGTTTTAAAAAGCTTTCTATATAATTTATATTTCATCTGGTAAGGGTCCTTATAAAAATTATATACGAATTTCAACATCCTTTTATATCCTAAATAATTAAGATATCCAAAAAATAAATGGTAGGCTTTCCACCCATTAATTAAATTTTGCATGATTCTTATACAGAATACTAATATTTCTCGGTTAGTTATTTACTTTTTTTAGAATTAAGTTATACTGTAACACTGCGCCATTCCAATATGCACATATTTTTTTTATTTATCCTTTGTTTGTCAATTTTTCGAAATGCCTTCCGTCCGAGAATCCCCAGCGACAAATCAAAATGACTATTTTATCGAATTCCTCTTCTCGTATTTATCGTGGAAGAGGAATGAGACTTTAATCATTATAAAGTTATGTGCATGAAATTTAGGAGATAACTGTATTGTATTTTAAGCTCCGACGGCATCAATTGGTTATTTGATGGTCGCAAATTAAGTTTACTGGTATTTGCGACCATCAAATCACCGATTGATGACGTCGGAGCTTAAAATACAATATTGTAATCTCCATTCTAATGAAACTGACAGAAAACAACGTCAAATCATACATTTAAAATATGTCATACATCGTCTGCGCTTGCGCGTACGTTTTCATAGCATTAATTGTGAATTGGTGCCATGAAAATTGGTGACGTTATCCAATAAAAATGAACGTTACAAACTATGTTGCATTAGAATGATTCATTTCATGCATTAGAGTGAACACTTTTCACGAATCGCTAGAAGGATAAAAGACCAAAGTAACAACTGCTAGCTGACAAATGCTAGAGGGAGCAAATAAGTACGCAGCAAGTTTTAAAGCTATACGCTTTGTAAAGTGGTCACGTTTTGATGGCAATATTTGAAATGGAAATTGTTCACATTTTTTTTTGGTAATAAATTGATAGATTAATATTTACGAAATTCAATTTTACTTTGAAAACTTTTCAAAATACACAGATTTCACATTAAATGAACCTTGTGTCCATTTAGTGGAGTGTCTACTTCTCATGGTATAACCGCCGTACAGTGGAGTGTCTACTTCTCCTGGTATAACCGGCGTACAGTGGATTTTCTACTTCTCATGGTATAACCGCCGTACAGTGGAGTGTCTACTTCTCATGGTATAACCGGCGTGCAGTGGATTGTCTACTTCTCATGATATAACCGCCGTACAGTGGAGTGTCTACTTTTCATGGTATAACCACCGTACAGTGGAGTGTCTACTTCTCATGGTATAACCGCCCAGTGGAGTGTCTACTTCTCATAGTATAACCACCGTACAGTGGAGTGTCTACTTCTCATGGTATAACCGTCGTACAGTGGAGTGTCTACTTCTCATGGTACAACCGCCGTACAGATGATCTTATGCATTTTGTCGCGAGAAATAACAATATGCATATGTCAGCAATGTAAATGATAAAAGTCCAAGCTCAACTCGAATTATTGTCGTTACAATTTAAAGAACGCATGAATGCTTAACAGCCAAAAGCACAAAAAATTGACGGTCGCAAAACTGACCTTTTGATGCAATCAGGTTTAGATTTGAGGCTGTATTAATTTTGTTCCTTGCTTGAGGATACAAAAATTTAACATTGGCTAAGCACTGGTGTGATAAAATATTAAAGATGACAAATATTGTGTCGTTCAATTTGCTAATCGAACTTCGATTTTTTTAGAACAGGATGTCGGTTTATGGCCGGACATTATGCGATTTGGCTATTCTTTTTATGTACCGTTTGGTCACATAGCTCCAACTGTTGCTACATATGTATACATCCTGATGAAGATAAATTTAATAATAAAAAAAGAGCTTCGGACGCACGAAATTTATAAAGTGTAATTTTCATTTAAGGATTAATGTTTAAAGTATTTAAGAAATGTAATGCATACAAGTCGTTAGGTGTATTGTATCGGTGATTGAGATATGGGGTATACGTCAATATAACAACAAAGCAATGACACAGATAATTAGAGGTCAATATACGATCTCTAATAATACAAAAATGTCTATCAAATATGTTAAGCCTTCAACCTAGTGAATTTGTATATACAAAATGACGACTTGAATAGGTCAATATAGTACAGGTCTCCAACAATAGTAAAATGGGTGGTGAATATGTCAAACTCTATATTGTACCGTCTAGTAAATTAATGAACACATCTGAGAGACTTTTAAATCTTCCCTCAACACCAAAGTCTTTGAATAAAAATACAACATTGAGATATCAATAAGGCGGAGAATACACATGCAAATGGGACCATTACCTGAAAACAGCCACTGATGAGATTCCATATTGATGATTGACAGACACATTATCATTTGGTGGTGTTAACGTCCTAAACCGGGTTTGTACTTACATGAACAGCACGACGGGTGCCACATGTGGAGCAGGATCTGCTTACCTTTCCGGAAAACCTTGGAACACCTCGTTTTGTTTTTGTTTTTGTTTTTTTGCGGGGGGGGGGGGGGGGGGGGGGTCGTGTTGTTCAGTCTTAAGTTTGTTATGCTGGTATTCATGGACTGTTGTTTGTCATTTGATCGTTTTCGTTTTTGCAAGGGCACTGTAAGTTCGTTTTCGACTTATGAGTTTGACTATCCCTTTGGTATATTCCGTCTCTCTTTTACTATGGACTCTTATCACACAAAAAATACGATTAAAATTAATCGTAAGTTCACTGAACTGTTTATCATTTCCGAGCATGCTTTTCTCGTAAGTATAAATAAGAAGATGTGGTATGAGTACCAATGAGACAACTATCCATCCAAGTCACAATGTGTAAAAAGTAAACAATTATAGGTCAAAGTAAGGCCTTCAACAAGGAGCCTTGGCTCACTCCGAACAACAAGCTATAAAGGGCCCCCAAAAGACTAGTGTAGAACAATTCAAACAGGAAAACCAAGAGTCTAATCTATATAAAAAACGGGAACCAGAAACAGTTTTTTGCGAAAATAGTCACACGTTTTTAGTGCCGCCAGATGCGAAATTTAGTCTACGCACAAAACTCATAAGGGAGCAACCATTTAACTTCAAAGGGGAGGGGTATGGTTATTTGAATGAGTCACAAAATTAAACACTATAAGGTATTGGGAAAATCTGGATTCAGATTTTTTTTGTCATTTGCTTGACCACAATATTTTTTTCATCAAATTGTGGATCAGAATATTCTTTTAGGAAAAAAAAACATTACCCCCCCCCCCCCCCCCCCCCCTTTTAAGTTAAATGGTCGTTCCCTAAGCGAAGCTGGAATCAAAACCCTTATAAGCAAAGTAAGCCAGTTTTTAATTATATGAATATATAAACACAATACAAACTGAAAAGTGTTTTATTAATAAAATATTTTTTTATAAATAGATATTCTATAACACAAATAACTAGAATAGCACGACGATGATTGTCAAAACCAATGATTATGTACGATAATAAATAGTGATTGCTCTGGCTGGCACACTGCACACATGAATTACGAGTTTAAATGTGCATACACATGACTATTGTCTTCAAATTGTTTTCAGCAAAGCTTAAGTGTTAAAAAAAAAACACCTTTGATATTTTTTTATAACAGATTATGTTGATATACTTTTAAAATATTGGAAGTATATCTATATACAACAATTATTAGAAATATATTTCATCAAGAAAAAACTTTCAGTCGAATGAATGCCTGACTGAAGTTAAGAAGAGGTTGCCGAAATAAGTCAAATTTTTGAAAACTCATTTCGAGAACAACATTTTTCATTTTATGGAATTTGATTCTAACTGCTGCAAAAAAAAGAAGTCTTTAATTTTGACTATCATGAATAATTTGAATTCCACTTGGGTTTTTTTTTTTAACTTTTCGGTACTGATACTGATAAAGGTCCACTGGTACATGTGATACCTATTTCAGTAATGTCGGTTGGAATACTTTAACAAACAGAATAGTAACAGATGTCCTGTCATTTAAAACACATTTGCATTAAAGTGCGAGGTAGAAAAACACAATACGAAAAAAAAGTTGACTTAATATATATATTATATATATATATATATATATATCAATATAAAAATGTACATTTATCATCAATCATTCCTACACCGAAAAAAACATATATACTTGTTTCCGGTCCCTTGTTAGAAACAATAGAGTAGTTAGGTAGGTAAAATGATTTTTTAATATTTTACATAGAATATATAAGAAAATATCTTTAACAGTGTTTCACCAAGTCTGGACTTAAACAGTACTAAACCAAAAATGTCCATAAACTGTGTCCGAGTAGGCATCACAACTTAGGGTAGGTAGGAAAAACAAGTATATATATTTTGGTCTAACTAAAAACTAAGCCTCTAAACAGGCAAATCATTTAACCAGATCATAGACGGTTCAAAACGGTACAAAGCACATAGTGTTTAAAAATACCTTTGAAAATAATTATTTGATTATAAATCAACATAATTTTATTGTATTCTTAGCTACTAAAATTAAATTGTACGAGTTTTTGTTTTCTGTAATTGATTAACATAATCGAAATCAACAAAAATGTCCGTTGAAATACGGACTTCAGACGGTCGTTCAAGACTACGTTGGAATGAAGTGGAGAAAAATTCTACTGAACATGGAATGTTTAACTGTATTTTAAACGCCTTTTATTTTCTGATATTTCTTATAGTTCTGATAGACAGACATGATTTTTATATAATAAATTGCTCAATTGATCGAAATGGATTAAATATTGCAGATGTTTGATATGACACTTGTAATCGTGAGTTTTGAAATGACACGTGTTATGAGTTTTGAATTGACACGTGTTGTCGTGAGTTTTGACATAACACGTGTTGTGAGTTTTTACATTACACCTGTTGTCATGATCTATTTCACGTAATAGAATGCAATCATCTATTCCAGTGATAGAATCTAATTTCAAGGCACTACCATTATCTATATTTTTCAAGTTCGTCAAACTGTGGATCCTTAATCTCAATAGTCGTTGTTTCCTTGTTTAACATGTTTTCAGTCAGTCTTTCTACGCTATTGATACTAGATTCTTAAGGTTACAAAATTGTGTTCGTCTAGGCTGATATTTAACTTAAGTCAATGTATGCCTCTCTTCGACATATAGCATGTATAGAGAATTGTTAATGCGATGTATGTGTAGATCTTCCTGCTATTCATTATATAGCTGAATGGATATTTATTCTAAAAATGTGATCCCATCCTGTGTTTATAAATATAACCGTAATGTCAACAACACGTTACACAACTTGTTTCGATTTCGAACTGAAATAATTTCCAAAACTAAATTTAACATCACTGTAAAATGATTCTACTTTCTTTACCTTCGGTAACGGCCATTCGTACTCGTTTGGTATGTGTCCATCCGTATCTTGCTCAAAATAATATAGCACCGGAAAACACTTTTTCAAACGGTGAGTGTCACGTGATATTAGCGACATATTGATTGCTATAGTGTGGTGGTATGAGAAAAGTTTAGATGAAATGACAAAGGCCAATAGTATGTCCAGTGTATAATGCCCATGGCCTAGAAGAATGAAAAATACTCCAAAAATACCAACAACCCAGTTCAATGTATGTAAACACAGCATATTGCGGGGAGTATCTGCAAAAAAAAAAAAATACATTACTTATTATTATTATAGTCAATTCAATAAACCGGATAACATTGATAAATGAATGGCATAAAATGTAAAGATTCAATGAAAACTACTAAAAGTTCGAAATATACAACTGCAGTTCCGAACACCTATCAACAAAGACAAACTTCTCCGAGTGCGGAGCAGAAATTGATAACAAGTTATTCTGAAATATTCATGCTTAAGCTTTACGAGTATTTTTGTCTCAAGATTTTTTTTTGTGAAATGAGTCGCTAGGTATTTTTCAACCGCATTGGTAAACGACGTGCTTTGATATCATTTAATATCAACCAATGACATGAAAGAATTTAAATTTTTGGTTACGAACCATTCAAATTCAAAGTAGTTTTATTGTTCAAATATCAAACGTATACATTCAAAATAAAGGGATTGGACAAAAGACAAAGCTTATACAAATCCTTTCCCATGCAAGATGGATTGAATAATCTAGTACTTGATAATTCATAGATCATTCATTATTGCGGTGAGTCCTGGGAAGCATAACCCTACCTTTTGAACCATACAATTATCCATGGTCCTCTAGATTCAAATATGGTTACTTTAAAAATTCGGTGACCGTTATTACTCCTCCAGATACAAGTCATAATCTCTGATAATCTTATCAGCGTCTTTCTACAGTTCAGACTTGTATTTGTGATAACGATATGTTGACATTATGAAGAAGTCGTAACTGATAGACATGTTTACATTGTGACCCAGTCATACAAAGATAAATATTTACAACGTTCAATGTATAACAATACTATTAATGCCATCATGACTATAAATATATAGTTTTATATGGCACAATGTATATTTACTGCCTAAAGTTAAGCATTCATCAATTAATAAATGATTGTTTTGTGTATTATCTTTGGTGCACCAGGTAGGTGTAATTTTGGCTGCATTTGGGTTCGCAATGTTCTTCAGCTTTTTTCTTTATTTGGCCTAATAACTTTTTTAATGCGAGCGTCACTGATGAGTCTTTAGTAGACGAAATGCGCGTCTGGCGTACACAATTATAATCCTGGTATCTTTGATGATTTCAATTCGTTATCAACGAGACATATATTCCATTATTAATACTTTACTTAACTTTTACCTAAGGCGAAAGGTATCAACGAGACATATATTTCATTATTAATACTTTACTTAACTTTTACCTAAGGCGAAAGGTATCAACGAGACATATATTCCATTATTAACACTTTACTTAACTTTTACCTAAGGCGAAAGGTATCAACGAGACATATATTCCATTATTAATACTTTACTTAACTTTTACCTAAGGCGAAAGGTATCAACGAGACATATATTCCATTATTAATACTTTACTTAACTTTTACCTAAGACGAAAGGTATCAACGAGACATATATTCCATTATTAACACTTTACTTAACTTTTACCTAAGGCGAAAGGTATCAACGAGACATATATTCCATTATTAATACTTTACTTAACTTTTACCTAAGGCGAAAGGTATCAACGAGACATATATTCCATTATTAATACTTTACTTAACTTTTACCTAAGGCGAAAGGTATCAACGAGACATATATTCCATTATTAACACTTTACTTAACTTTTACCTAAGGCGAAAGGTATCAACGAGACATATATTTCATTATTAATACTTTACTTAACTTTTACCTAAGGCGAAAGGTATCAACGAGACATATATTCCATTATTAACACTTTACTTAACTTTTACCTAAGGCGAGAGGTACCAAAGGGACATTCAAACTCACGTGTCGAAAATTAACTGAAAAACGCCAGGACAAGAAAAGAAAAAAGACCAAAAGACAAACAGTATACAAAACACAACATCGAAAACTAAAGACTGAGCAACAGGAACCCTTCCAAAACCCGGGATGATCTCAGGTGCTCCGGAATAGGGTTATAATGATCAATGCGTGTTTGGTGCCTGATGATCTCAGGTGCTCCGGAATAGAATATTTATATAGGGTTATAATGATCAATGCGTGTTTGGTGCCTGATGATCTCAGGTGCTCCGGAATAGAATATGTATATAGGGTTATAATGATCAATGCGTGTTTGGTGCCTAAGTGGAAACGTGGTCACTCGTCTGTAAACAGCGCTATTGTGAGTTTGAACCCCTTTCCTGGACAGATGATTTCGACTCCGATCTTAATTTACTAGATTTGCTAGTTACAATTTCTTGCCAAAGGTCGGTGGTTCTTTCCGGGTATTCCCGATTCACCCACCAATGAAACTTGCCGCAAGGATAAAGCCAAGTGTGCTGTAAATGGCGTTAAACATCAGCAATCAATCAATCAATCTGTATTGTATTTGTCGATTGTTTTACTTTGGATTTTATATCAATAAAATGTTTGACCTTGACTTTTAGATTACTTGCATTCATTGATGCTAAGCACAAGTAAAGTCATTATGACAGTATGACCACTGAACACATAGTCCCCACACGTCTTTATTCCATTTGACCTTGACCTCAAGATTACTTACATGCATTGATACATTGTACTAAGCACAAGTAAAGTCATTATGACAGTATGACCACTGAACACATAGTCCCCACACGTTTTTTTTTTCGTTTGACTTTGACCTTTAAATTATTTACATTCATTGATACTAAGCACAAGTAATGCCTTTATAAAAGTATGACCACTGAACACATAATCCCCACACGTCTTTATTTCGTATTACTTTCATTCATTGATACCGAGAACAAGTAAATACATTATACCAGTGTGACCAGTGAACACAGTCCCCACACGTCTTTATTCCGTTTGACCTTGATCTTTAGATTACTTACATTCATTAATACTTGGAACAAGTAAAGTCATTATAACAGTATGATCACTGGACACATAGTCCCCACATGTCTTTATTCCGTTCGACCTTGACCTTTGTGAATACTTACATTCATTAGTACTTAGCACAAGTAAAGTCATTATAATAGTATGACCACTGGACACATAGTCCCAACACGTCTTTATTCCGTTCGACCTTGACCCTAAGATTACTTACATTCATTAATACTTAGCACAAGTAAAGTCATTATGACAGTATGACCACTGAACACATAGTCCCCACACGTCTTTATTCCATTTGACTTCATACCAATAGCTGCATAGAACCGTACAACACGTGACAATCTCTCCCAACCATCCTTTACTTCCTGAAATGGATTAGAAATTACTTTTGTGTGGGTCATTCTATATGAATAAAGATAAATCTACAAGGATTTTGTTTTTCTGTTTTGTATTTATTTTTCTTTCTTTGTTTGTTTGTTGTTTTTTTTGGTTGTTTTTTCTTTTGTTTTTTTTTATAAGGGGGTTGGTTCGTTGACATTTTGCATAGAATCTTACAACTCTATTTTGAACATATTCTGACAGTTTTATCTTTAGAACAGTTTTGGATAGTCATGTATTTTTATAGTGACTTCATTGAGAGTCAATGTCGTAGACACCCCCGTAGTGATTATAGTATTTTTACATTCCAAAAATGTTACCCGGTAAAATTTTACCCTGTAACAAACAACTCAAAGTATAATAATTGTTCCAAAGAAAATATATTCTATTTTATACTTCTTACTGATCTTGAAAAGATGTTTTCTCTATTGCTTAAACGTCATGATATACAAATAAAAAAAAAATGATTTAATTTTAACCTTAAATATGGAGAAATAATAGAACTAACACACATTCATGTCTTACAAAGTTAAAAACAAGAACGCACCTATAAACCAAGACTAAATAAAGACTGTGTTTATCTATTATTTGATCTTTATATCTAAAATGTGTCATACAGGGAAAACCTAGTTACAAAAGGTAAATGCCCTGACTTCCTCGACTAACTACTGATTAGAGAGCTGTTCTTATTTGCGTCATTTAGAGCTGTTTTAAAATATAGATTTGAGCAGGTAGACAATATATTAGAGCCTGGCAGATCTACCCTAGAACATTTTGGACAGTTCTATCCTATAACTGTACAAGGGTAGAACTGTTCTAGAACAGTTTACTGATTTTTATAGTTTGTTCTTATGTTGTGCTGTTACGCCACCGTCCCAGGTAAGGGGGAGGGTTGAGCATTCACAAACATGTTTAACCCTGCCACATTCTTAATGTGCCTGTCCCAAGTCAGGAGCCTGTAGTTCAGCGATTGCCGTTGATTCAAGTCTGTCATATTTGTTTTTCGTGAATTGTTTTTTTATAAATTAGGCCGTTAGTTTTCTCAATTGAAATGTTTCATATTTTTCACGTCGGGGCTTTTTATAGCAGACTAAACGGTATGGTTTTTCTAATTGTTGAAGGCCGTACGGTTACTTATAATTGCTTACATCAACTTCATTTGAACTTTAGTGGATAGTTGTCTCATTGACAATCATACCACATCTCCTTATTTTTATATAGAACAGTTCTATATCAGAATATTCAGCCAGTTCTGGAGACCGATTCGAACTGACCCAAACTCTACTTTTTAGGAAGTGAGAATTGTTTTAATACAATCGTTTTATAATGATTTGTTTTATTTATTATTTCGCATTATTCCTTACACATAAATTGAAGTAGTGGTACATTTTCTTTTTAATCAGCTCAGATTTGAAGGTTAGAATGTGTATAAAAATATCACACTGAAAAGAGCAGGCTTACATTGTAAGTACCTTAGCCTTCTATCTTAACAAAAAGTAGTGAACATAGATTGGGGGGGGGGGGGGTTTCCATTTTTATTAGTAAATGTTAAGTATATTAAAGTATATTTTCTCTTGTTGGATAAATTCAATTCATATTTGTCCCCGATTTTCTTTTAAATTTGGATACCCTTTATGCACTCGACAGATACGTAACTATTTAAATGAATTAACTTTATCTCTTTAAACGTGACTAAAACATTACGTGTACGGGTTGCGGATATTGCTTGATATATAGTTTGTAATTTTAACATTTTAATAATCAGACAAAAGTAAAAAAAAATCTTCACAAAGTACATGGAAATAAATTAAACAATTTAAAATGGTTCTCTGCATTGAGAAAATAGGCATACGTCAATGAGACAGCAAGCCAACAAAACAAAAAATATAAACGACGTCTAGAGGACAACTTAGTTTTAACAAAAGCTAAGTGTCTAGCTCTGTCATATATCAGGCTCAAAATAACACCGAGTCAACAACAAAAGCTAGGTGTCTCTGTCATATATCAGGCTCAAAATAACACCGAGTCAACAACAAAAGCTAGGTATCTCTGTCATATATCAGGCTCAAAACCACACCGAGTCAACAACAAAAGCTAGGTGTCTAGCTCTGTCATATATCAGGCTCAAAACCACACCGAGTCAACAACAAAAGCTAGGTGTCTAGCTCTGTCATATATCAGGCTCAAAATAACACCGAGTCAACAACAAAAGCTAGGTGTCTCTGTCATATATCAGGCTCAAAACCACACCGAGTCAACAAAAAAAGCTAGGCGTCTCTGTCATATATCAGGCTCAAAACCACACCGAGTCAACAACAAAAGCTAGGTGTCTCTGTCATAGATCAGGCTCAAAACCACACCGAGTCAACAACAAAAGCTAGGTGTCTCTGTCATATATCAGGCTCAAAACCACACCGAGTCAACAACAAAAGCTAGGTGTCTCTGTCATATATCAGGCTCAAAACCACACCGAGTCAACAACAAAAGCTAGGTGTCTCTGTCAAATATCAGGCTCAAAACTACACCGAGTCAACAACAAAAGCTAGGTGTCTCTGTCAAATATCAGGCTCAAAATCACACCGAGTCAAAAGTGGAATAATCTTAACACAGACTATCTAGATCTGCCGTCAACATCAAATTTTCTCAATGCAAAATAAAATCATTAAGATATGAAAAAAATACAAGCAAAGACGAGCGTCGTGACTTTTGATAGGCACATGAACGTGTGATGGGGATAAACTTATTTTCAAAGATTTCAGATTAAAAAAAATCATTCGTTGTCCGACCTATCCATATCTAAATGTGCAGATGCTAGTATCTGTCTAAAGTAGTTCATGGGGGCATAACATTAGCTAAAGAACAATTATCCCACTTTCCCAGTAAATAGTTACTTACTATACGATTACAGTTGTAGTCTTTCTGTGGCATTGGTATGGCTGTAGACATCACACAAAAACATCGTAGAAGGTAGATAGTGGCAGCTATTATCATTAACCGCTGAATTACTAAAAATCTACAGAATAGAACAAAAGTTAAAACAATCATCTAGGATTTGAGGGGGGGGGGGGGGGTAGAGGGATTCAATTTTGTTGACGCTTTATAAAATTATTGAAGTTATTTGATTCAATTTCTGTATGATAAGTGAACACTTTCAAAGTACTCGCTGTCGCCCCTTTAATTACGTACTTACAATTACCAAATTATGATAATTTTGTGATTTAAAACTTTTATTTGTCAACTTAAATTTCTTTTTGAAGATTCGTAAAATAGCTCGGATGTATGATATAATGTATAAAAACTAACGAATCATCATTATAAAACAAGTTCTACATATTGCACCACACAACGCACAAGGAGAAACGTCATGCATAGTGATTATAAAAGAAAAGATCTTTTTATGTCTATTTTAACTTTCAACGTAACCAGATATCAGTGAAAAATCGAGGTCAAGAATTTCACGTGAAGTATTTTTATTCTATCTATGTTTAAATAAGAAACCTGATATTCTCTGCGTAGTTGTTTGTTAGATTTGATTATACAAACAAATTTTATTCCTTTTCAAAGGTTTACAATCTTTAAATTGAATGTTTGTTTTAAACTGTATAAACTTCGACCTGCCTATAAAAGCTAGGACAGTAGTTTCAAATTTTCTACTTGTGTTTCACAATTAAATATTTATACAGTAAACAAGTTGAAATCCCTTGGATTGAAGTATATCTTTTCAATGTACTTCTCAATATCTTCATTGTTATATATTGACTGATTGATTGATGGCCGCTTAACGTTGGATTTGTTCGTGTTTTAGATTAGCTCACAAGGTAACAGTCAACAGAAAGACATGTCACCCTTCCAGACTTTTGACAGTACTTCAAATTTAAACTTAAACAGCGTATTTAAGATAAATTATCGCTTATTAAGATCAAATTAGATTTGTAAATTCTTTTCCATTTCGTTCTCCGCTAAGTCGAAATATATCGAAGTGTGTGTATGTGTGTGTGTGTGGTGGGGAAAGGGGGGGGGGGGGGGGGTACGGTGGTGCTCATTTCTCAAATCCCGGTTTGTTTGCATTTTCGGATTTTGCATAGGACTTTAATGTCATGTTTGTGCACACCAATAACATCGAGAGAAAAAATGTGTTTAATCCTTATAATTCTCTACCGAAAAATTGGTTGTTAATTTTCTTCAAATTTCAACTTTTTTCGAACCCAAGGATTCAATGTGTATGTATCAGGCATGAATATAAAATTTTCGACGGATTGTTCATTTACATATGTTAAAAATGTAGTTCGGCTATATCATCGTCATGGTCTATTCATAAGTGTAACCCAAGTGGGGGTAGGAAACTTACGGACCAATCACATTCAAGTATTGTAGATAAGCAAATCATATAAAAATTATTATATAGTATAATTTTTTTATAGATAAAAAGAATTACCTGTATTTATGGAAAAACAACATTATAAGTCCCATTATAATAAGAACAAAAATAGCTCCCTCTGTCACTCGGTAAGCCCATGGTATAAATGGCAAATTGTCTAGAAATATATCAGGTAAGGGCGGGTACTTCTTTTTATCCGGTAAATTTTCTTGGGCATACGTCACAGCAAACCCCGAGAAAAAATGAGAACAGAACAGATACAAAACAGACAGTGCAAATTTCCGTCGGTCCAATTTCAGTCTCTTTCTGGTCTGAAAAGAATCGTCATCAGAGTCGGTAATCGAAATTCCGCCGGAAGGGGAAGATAATCCGGACCGTGTGGATGATTGTTCCGAATGGATGTAATTATTGAATGTTGAATAGGTCTGTTTGAATGGAGAATCACTTGTTTTCTGGTCACGATTACGTTTTTCTTCTCTTAGATTTTCAATAAGAAAGCAAAGTCTTCTTAAATCTCCGAATGGCAAGATTTGCAGAGGTGGTTGTTTGAGGTCATTTTCAGTCAGCGATAGAAACACTCTGCCATCAATTTTATTTTCTTCACAAAACAGCTTCCTATAGTGTTTGAAATCATTTTCGTCAAGGTATGCACCCACATCTTTTATGGTCCAGAGTTCCGGGTCCATTTTAAAATCCTACAAAAGTACTGTAACGACTGAAAAATAAGAAGAATTACAAAATCAGAGTTCAGGCCCGAAACAACCAAGATCATTTAAGAATGACCGAAAACGAATATTCGTTTTATTTTTATTTTACATATACTACAAACTTAAAGTCACGTGTTAATAATAGTCCACCCCACAGAACCAATGGTCATTAAGAATTACCAATGACAAAGTTACAATAATTAAAAAGAACTACTACAAACAAAAAGCCACAATTAAAGTACTCACACTAATTGTAGTAAGACACATATAGTCAATAAAACAAGCAAACAAATCTTTAGCTATCCCGTTCAAAAACAGTGTTGAAACAGTCTATATTAAGACTTGCTTGCGTCAATGTCGAAATTTCTATGTTGTGAAGCAGAAATCGCTAACATGTACTTTACTTCTATTAAGCCACTGTAACATGTCAATATTTAGGACAAAATTATTTAAACCATTATCGGATAACTTGGTCAAACAATTCAGTTCATTAGTATTATATAAAGACTTCTCACTGAATTGTATTCGTGATAGGTTAAAGAGTTTTGTATCTGATAATCGGATTAAAACTATGTTTATATAATTGAAATAGACACTCCTAAATCGTTTGGAAAGAACTTGACTAGAGAACCCGCTTACACCCGATATTTGGCTACCCTTAATTGTTCTTTTGGAACAATACAATACAAACAATCGCCACGGTTGATTTTGTAGAAGCAAAAACATGAATGAAAAAGTAACAACATAGATACGCTTTAATGGATTGTACTGGACTTTTAAGGGATAGTATTACTTCTACTTTTCTTTATATCAAGGCACCTTTGAGAGTCAGATTAAACACATCTACAGAGCTCACATTTATTTTTCATCACGTTTACCGACCTTGAGAGTCAGATTAAACACACTCACAGAGCTCACATTTATTTTTCATCACATTTACCGACCTTGAGAGTCAGATTAAACACACTCACAGAGCTCACATTTATTTTTCATCACATTTACCGACCTTGAGAATCAGATTAAACACATCTACAGAGCTCACATTTATTTTTCATCACATTTTCCGTCCTTAAATTAAATGTTTATCTATACCTTCTCCCTTTTTCCACCGCCTTCGAAAATAATTGATAAAGACAGTGGACCATTTTTGTTGTAAAAAACGGTTTGAACTACACTGTCAGCAGTTTACTATGTGAGCTTTTTTTTCTGAACGTTCTGACTTATGAAACCTTCTTTTCCATTTAAAAAATCTAGCAATCTTAAGTAAGAGGTTTAGCTAGCTGTACAACCAGATGTAACCAACAATTTTAATCACAAAAAGCCTGCACATAGTCAGGAATATTATAGTAATGTTGTTTTTCACTCGTTCCGTTGGTTGATAACGTTTGATTTTGTCAGTTTTTATGGACTTCCTTCCCCTTTTTGAATTTACCTTGGAGTTCGGTATTTTTGTTATACTTTTTTTTACAACAACTTACAGTATTTCAGCTTCATGTGTAAATTTTGAGTTTCTTCTGGACATGTAATCAATTTTTAATATTTTTTTTTAGCTCAAACATGAAATTCTGATCTAGTATATTACGTATTTTTTCGCTACTATATTCAATGAAGAGGAAAATTATTTCAATCCAAAATTTAAAAAAATTTTCTATCTTTGGTCGGGTTGTTGTCTCTTTGACACATTCCCCATTTCCATTCTCAATTTTATTCTAAATGTATCTGTGTTTTCTTTTTCATATCACAAATCAATATTTAGTTTGGTTCTTAAGATGTAACATAATCTTGAGTTCCATATTTTACGAAAACCTTTAAACTGTTAAGTTTTATCAAAACTGCTTATGGTGTATGCTATTTTTTTCGCACACTGTTCTATTTTCCTTACACTACTGTAATATGCATATGCTTTTTTTCGTCGCGTTGTGCTAATTTTCTTTGCACTGATCTATTTTTATTCACGCTGTGCTGTTTGTCTTTCCATTTTGCTATTTTTCTTCGCGCTGTGCTATTTTTTTCCGCACTGTTCCATTTTTCTTTGCCGTGTGCTATTTTTTTTTCGCACTGTGCTATTTTTCTTCGCGCTGTGCTATAATCTATGATACATTAGATAAACGTAAATAAACAACGGGAAATTTAGAATCATATTACATATACATGTAGCCACTAAACCCTTGACCGCGCGACGGCAGACCGCGGGGGACAAAATGTGTCCCTCGTTTTATAATGCCAATGAAATTTCCAAACAAACTCATGCATAATTACAAACTTGAACCACATTTGTACTTGAATACTGATTATAGCGTATATTTTAGGACCCTTTAATTTCAAACGAAAATTGGTAAATAATAAAGTGACCACTGTCAAGTTTTACTTTAGTCTGCACTGAGAGATAAGGACTGAGTGTCGACTGGTCAAGAAGTGTTATTTAAGTCTACGTAACGGACGGCGTGATGACTGGCTAAGAATTGTACATCAGTCTGCGCAGCTATAGAGACCAAACGTTGCTAACCCTTTCAGAGATCATCTCCAGTGTTGGGGTTATTTTTGTATTGCTTTAGTCTTTAGTTTTCTATGTAGTGTTTTGAGTACACCAGTCTGCGCAGCTATAGAGACCAAACATTACTAACCCTTTCAGAGATCATATCCAGTGTTGGGGTTATTTTTGGTTTGCTTAAGTCTTTAGTTTTCTATGTAGTGTTTTGTGGATTTCTTTGTTCTTTTCATCTTTTTCTGGGTTTTGTTTTTGCCATCGCGATGTGTGTTTCTTTCTAACTTATGAATTTTGAATGTTCCCTTGGTATCTCCCGCCTTTAAAAAAATGAAAACCATCAGCACTAAACAAGTCAATATTTAAATATGGCTTCACAAATAGTTCCGTAACCTTTTAAATTGGGGCATATTTATTTAAGTCAAGTATGAAGGTCTGGATGGGAGGTCCGTCATTTCTGCCCTTAATTCTCCACATTTTGTCCGTTATTAACTATTCTGCAAACCCCGTCCACATCCTCAAGTATGCATAAGTATGCTTCAAATATCACGACAGAATTGCAAACAATCCCGTATTTCTAAATAGATAAGAAAATCTCAAACAAAAACAGTTTAAATCAAAAAGTCTTAAAGAAACACGAGAAATCTATTTCAGTATCACTAACGCCAAGGGATTTAAACGTGACAATGTTTGACTTGTAATTATCTGTCATCATATACCCTATATTGATTATAATAATGAAAGTGCGAAGTGAAACTAGGTTAGGTGGAGTTTTGCCATTGTATGCCAAGTTCATAGTATATAATTTACTTTGTTGACACAAAGATTTAAAACTCTACTTAAATTCCAATAATGGTAAAGTAATCGTATCTTGCATAATTTGGTCACTTAGAAAAAAACGTATTTCAACATGCTACAGTGGGTCATATGGTTAGTATATATTTTCAGTTAATCAATAAAATCAATATTATCCAATAACTTTAGGCAAAATTGGAAATGCATGTAGTGTCACATTTTATCAACGTTGATCGAGGCTGCTTCAAAGCCAATTCCCGCTTTTTGCCCACTGGGTTTATTGTTTTATCTCTCTATTTAATGATAAACTTTACAATAAACATATGGTTTGTGAAAGTGTTTGCATACCATTCGCTCCTGGGGTAGTATAGGATTTAACAGTTAATAAGAAATTGGAAATCGGATTATTTATTCTAAAATTTTCCACGGCAACCCATAAATTTTCAAATGAAATTGTTATCTCGAAAACACAACTGAATGATATTTTTAATGGTTGGTATGCCTGCTACATTTTTTATCGTTTAACATCTAAAATGTCTTGCCATTCATTGAATACCAACAAATCATCCAGAAACATTTTCCCCGCTAAAAAGTCTAGTTTTTATAAAAAATGTACAAATACATATCTTAATATTTCTACAATTTTGTCCTGATTACACATTTATTCTCTTTTAAAAAAGGACTAATTAAGAAATTGTTGATATTAAAGATTCAATTGAACAACCTTTAACCCCATAAAGGAAACATACATAGTATTTGCGCCTTCTATTGTACAAGTTTATACTGCATTGCAAGATGATAGTGACAGAAAATGCACCATCTGACTACAGACTAGGATGTTTAGTTGTACTTGTCACGAAGGATGCCATATGTAAAGCTGGATCTGCTCACCTCTTCCAGAATACCAGTGCTTTTTTGTGGGGATCGTGTGGCTCAGTATTTAGTTTTTATGTAGTGTTATGTAGCATGTCTTTTGTCTCTACGTTTTTCCTTCCGTTTTTGCTTTGATTTTGTTAGTCTCTCTTCTACTTATGAATTTTCTAGCTCCCTTAGATATCTTTCACCTCTCTTTTTACCGTTTGCTTCAAATGTCAGACTGGAACCAGTTTTATTGTTTGAGAGATGTTTTGTCGAGCTGATTTTCACATTGGACATATTAGGTTTATTCATTGATTGGTTGATGTATGATTAACGTCCAATTGTAAATATTTCATACATAATCAAGACGACAACAAATCATACAACATTAAAACCAATTTCTAGGTTTTACAAAGTATTTCGATTAGAATGTAAGGCGAAAAATTAGGACCGGCATTAGAAAAATAAGGTTTGATGGATCATGCCAGTAATTTTACTTTGCAACAGGGCGTTGAACAGGCAATCTACAGACTCCGTCAAAAGTTGTATGATGGGTTCCTTAACATAAAAAGAGTTTGATAATCTCCCTATGAGGCATCGCATTAAACGTTACAGTTCAAATTGGACCAGACTGTCTACTTATGAATTCTGAACATCAAAAAAATGAACACCTAAATAAAGTCATCATATATACTATGTTAAAAAGGCCAAATAAAGAACGAAGCCAAATACAGCTACGGTAATCTATTCCTAAACAGCGCCCTTAACATGGGTTTTCCTGTCCGACGGGATAAGTTAAGATTATCGTAATTGTATACACCAGTCAACCTCGTTGTGATTTTTTAAAGGCTATACAAACTCGTTCACTTGTATTAACAACACGTTGGCTATCAATATCAGTCCTACAAATTGATCTCCAATAGAAATATGAACGTATAATGATGTTTTAAAACGTGTGTTTATTAACTTAGCGCACTGCAAATATTTGCATTATTCAAACAGACGTTCTACTTTTTACACTGTCACGATAACTTGTGACTTGACTATCATCTAGAAAATTTTCCTTTTATAAAGAATTCTATATTAGTGTAAAACATTAATCACATGTCATGGTGGTTATCAAAACAATGAAAGATAGAAGATATTAATGGGCAATACAATATCCTATGTCGAATGATAACACAAAAACAAAACATACAAAAAATAAAAAAACCCAAAACATATACAAAACAAATCATATGGATCACCAGCTTCACCTAATGAACCGGGTTGGGATATAGAGAAACAGTTTGACGTTCTATGAATTCCTCTCAATACTTTTTGATAGAAGGTACTCGCTAACATTGCTGGAAAATTATGTTTAAAATATATAGCATTTTGGTGTTGTTAATTTTAAATTAGTACATCCCTTTCCCTCTTTTCATTGATTGATTAATTGATGTTTGTTTAACGTCCAGTGGCAAATATTTCAAGCATGTTCAGAACGATTTTCATAATAAATCTTACAATGTTTTTTTCAAAAACTGTATTTACCTTAAGGCTTTTAACAACATTTTAACTATAATATATAAACCCGAAACTACTTCGTAGAAAATATGTACCTGTTGACCATAATGATTGCTATTGGTCTTTTTAAAGCATCTCGCAATACTTCTTCAAATTAAAACAGATACACGTTATCAAAAGTTTAAATACTAGGTACATGCACGTGTTTCTATTCTAATGTTAATGAACTTATTCTAATTAACTTAAATGCAAAGGAAAGATGTCATCAGTTAAAATTTAAAAGGTTGATCATCAAAATAAAAAAAAACACTACTTACTGATTTATATATATAGCTATCCTATGATAATATTTGAAATACTAGAAACTCTCATATTTTTTCATTGATTAAGTATGACCATTGATAAAAGTTGTCCACGCCTACAAAAATCACTTATCGAATGTCGTTAGATACAGAAAAATACAGAAATTCGCGTCCTTAGATATATGACCTTATTATCGATAGTCATTCCAAAGAAAACCAGCCATTTGTGACAACGTTATGGCACAGTGAATTTTTTTTTTGTAATATACAAACATGATAGTTTACAATGCTAAACGGTCTAGATATTTAAATTCAAATCATGCAAAATTGGTTTCGGTTGAAATTTCTTTATTGTTTGTGTGTTTAGTAAACATGGTAAACAAACGCGTTGTATACTAGTTATCATTATAGGCCGTGTCTTTTCTTTTACCTGTTTCGCGTCAATTTAGATTTTCTTAATTTACCAGCCAGCTCTTAAAATCTTACTCAAAAATTGAAACACCTTTCAACTTAATATGAAATGATACGAAAACGTATTAGCAACACACACACTTTTTTTTGTATTTCTTCCTTTGTTTGCTTTGCGTCATAAAATATAGTTTATTGGTATTATTTTAAAAAACAAAATCATTCTTGTTTAAAAAAAACTATCTAACAATCCAAGGATGTATAAACTAAAAGTATCAGCAGACATGTAGATATCTACATCTTGAACAAATTAATTCTTATTTTTTAAAACAAATGATGATTTCCGGTAAACATATGACTGAGGCACCGACCATTCATCTTGAGGGAGGGGGGGGGGAGGGACATCGATTTATTTTCTTGGGACCTGGTAAAACATTTTGTCACTGTAATTTTTTTATGTTACATTTAGGAACAATAATTGTTTTTGGAAACTCAATTTTGTCCTACATACCCCCCCCCCCTTTTTTTACCTGCCAATTCTCAATCGAAACATTTTTTTTAAATTTCCTTTTATTTACAAAAATAAACCATGCCCTTCTAAAGATGAATGGTCTGTGCTTTAAGTTCTTGTGTTCCCTTTAAAAAATAATTTATTGAAATTTCAGAACAATCTTCTGAAGAAACAAAGTTGTATTTACAGAATTGAAGGAGTTATTGATACAGCAACCCTACGACACAAACAAACAAACAAAATTATATGTGTTTGTTGTAGACTTTTTCCATACCAGGTATTCCTATCCGAAATCCGCGATGGGATCTGAATCCCGAATAGCAATTAATAAAAATCTGGATCCGATTTCCACGGAGTATAATTCCTTGATGGGAATCAGATCCAGATTTTACATACCCAACGTTACAAACTTTTCAATAACTATTTCTCGGTTTCGGATGAGGATACCCTGTGTGATTCTACCATATAATATCTTAATAGCAATGAGACCCAAAACAAGGAAAAACACAACTTTGGCCTTACATGTTGTATAACTTTCATATTCTTGTTTATGTATATACAAATTTACAATTATATACATGTAGACGTCGATAATTTGCTGAATATTTGCCGATATCTAAACAATAGAAATGCAGCAATAAAAGCGATGTTCCTTTGGTCTTTGTGGTTTTTTTTTTTGTCGAGCCTGCGACTTTTGTCGCAGAAAGCTCGACATAGGGATAGTGATCCGGCGGCGGCGTTAGCTAACTTCTTAAAAGCTTTATATTTTAGAAGGTAGAAGACCTGGATGCTTCATACTTTGTATATGGATGCCTCATGTTACGAAGTTTCCGTCAGTCACATGTCCAATGTCCTTGACCTCATTTTCATGGTTCAGTGACTACTTGAAAAAAAAGTTAACATTTTTTGTAATGTTAAATTCTCTCTTATTATAAGTAGTAGGATAACTATATTTGGTATGTGCGTACCTTGCAAGGTCCGCATGCCCGTCAGACAGTTTTCACTTGACCTCGACCCCATTTCATGGATCAGTGAACAAGGTTAAGTTTTGGTGGTCAAGTCCATATCTCAGATACTATAAGCAATAGGTCTAGTATATTCGGTGTATGGAAGGACTGTAAGGTGTACATGTCCAACTGGCAGGTGTCATCTGACCTTGACCTCATTTTCATGGTTCAGTGGTTATAGTTAAGTTTTTGTGTTTTGGTCTGTTTTTCTTATACTGTATGCAATAGGTCTGCTATATTTGGTGTATGGAATGATTGTAAGGTGTACATGTCTAGCTGGCAGGTGTCATCTGACCTTGACCTCGTTTTCATGGTTCAGTGGTCAAAGTTAAGTTTTTGAGTTTTGGTCTTTTTTTCTAATACTATATGCAATAGGTCAACTATATTTGTTGTATGGAAATATTTTATGATCTATATGTCAGTCGCGCAGGTTTTATATGACCTTGACCTCATTTTCACGGTTCATTGCTCAGTGTTAAGTTTTTGTGTTTTGGTCTGTTTTTCTTAAACTATAAGCAATAGGTCAACTATATTTGTTATATGGAAGAATTGTTAACTGTTCATGTCTGCCTGGCATGGTTCATCTGACCTTGACCTCATTTTCATGGTTCATTGGTCAGTGTTTAGTTTTCTTGGTTAATGTTAAGTTTATGTGACAGTTGTAATAAAGCTTTATATTTAGGACTATCAACATAATATCAATGATTAGTAAAGAAGGCGAGACATTTCAGCGTGTGCACTCTTGTTTTGCTGTGTATGATTTTTGTATCATGGATGGATACCCCATATCCTTTCTTTTCTATTAAATCTAAATTTTAATAATTATTTGTTTAGCGTTATATACATGTACATGTATATCATTAGATTATATGATTTTATTAGTTGGTTGTTCTAATAGATTGATATTTTATTGTGTGTCTTTTTATGTTGTAATGTTATACCACTGTTTCAGGTTAGGGTGAAGGTTGGCACCTGCAAAAACGTTTAAACCCGTTGCATTTTTATGCACCTGTCCTAAGTCAGGAGCCTGTTGTTCAGTGGTTGCATGTCGTTTGTTGGTGTGGTTCATAAGTGTTTCTCGTTTCTCGTTTTTTATATAGATTAGACCGTTGGTTTTCCTGTTTGAATTGTTCTACACTAGTCTTTTGGGGGCCCTTATAGCTTGCTGTTCGGTGTGAGCCACGGCTCCGTGTTGAAGACCGTACTTTGACCTATAATTGTTTACTTTTTACACAATGTGACTTGGATGGATAGTTGTCTCATTGGAACTCATACCACATCTTCTTATTTATATCATAATTTGTATTGGTGTAATTTACACGTGTTAGATAAAAAAAATAAGAGAGACTTATCTCCTGCCTCGAAGAAGCAGAAAAACAAACTGCATGCAGGTTAGGAAGGTAGGTTAAAATAATTGTTTTTAAAGTTTACATAGACTACATAGAGAAATATTTTGGACTTTAGCGGGGCTTAATCAAAACTGTTCATAACATTTGTTAGGGTAGGCATAAAAATTAAGGGAAGTAAGGTGGCAAATATAAGAGGTTCTGGGTGGGGGACCTAAATCTCTTTATTCTATGCCATTTTTCTCTATTTATTTTGCCCATTACTCCGTAATCTTTATATTTTAGTACCTCTTTATTCTCTAAATATGATTCTTAATTATTTTGCTTATTTTTCTCTATTCTTTAATTTTTCTCGCCCTTTATTCTGCAATTTTTGCTCTTATATTCTTTTCTGTATACCCCAACTAGATCCTTCTGCAAAGACGAATTAATGCAGGAGTAAAACCTGGTAAGTAATTAAGCCAATCTTTTAAGGTCAGCTTCATATTGAGATATTTTTCATAAAACTAGTGCTGATGGGCGCATAGGATAAAGGGTGTTCGAAACGTACTCTGTTTCAAAATAACAAGCAGTTTGAAAGTGTTATCAATTGATAATATATATGTAAGCCTCAAATCTATGTCCAGCCTCAAATCTATGTCCTTTCTGCAAATCTATGTCCTTTTTAATATTGCGTCATAGACGTTCCAAATTTATGTCATTTATTGTCTCAAATCTATGTCTTTTATTGTCTCAAATCTATGTCCTGTATTGTCAAATCTATGTCCTTTATTAACTCAAATCTATGGTCATTTATGTCTCAGCTATATGGACGAGAGACAAAATGAGATATGTTGATGTTGCAAAAAAATATTCAGTCTTTACTGTTTTTTTAGTGAAAAAAATTATGTAGTTTCATTCTTGAAGGCATATTGATAAAGTAACATGTATGCTCGTTATGCCAATAATTTGTACACTGAATTATGTTGTGGTTGTTGAATGTTGATGTCATGGTACTCAATGGATTTTAAAAAATACATAGATTCGAAACTGGAATAGTTTCACCAGAAAAAAAAAACTTTTTTAATAAGATAGTGGCACAAAATGTCGTTGTTAAACACTATATAAATAACACATAGCTGAGAGGGTGATAGATCAGATTGTTACCCCGAGAAACATTGTCAACTGAGGCGAAGCCAAGGTTGACAATGTCTTTTCTAGGGGTAACATCTGCTCTATCACCCTCTCAGATATGTGTTATTTAATTTATTATACTGAATGTTTTGTTATTACTGTCTATTGAATTTCAAATTCAAAGTAATAAACTATGTCGTCCTGTACATAACAATCAACTTATATTTCGTATTTGTTACCAAGACGTAATGAGTAAAGGGAAGTAGCGATAATTACTACAGAACAATTAAACACGGGATCAAGGAAAGCAAACAATTTGAAAATGTTGTAGTTTTACAATAAAATGTAAATCATACCATAATTACACACGCATGTAAAATTTTGAAGCACACACATGGAGAACACATCCCAACTTAACCTTGAATTATGGGAAATGACTTAATAAAACAAAAATCCTATATGGGCGTACTTATTAGACGGGCATAAATTTGAGCATGGCGAAACAAACAGTGAAACTGGAAAAAGATTTAAGGACACAGATTTGAGGCCGTATCTTTTTTAACGGACATAGATTTGCGAATGACGTCACGATTGAAAACAAATTTGAAAATAGGACACAGATTTGAGGCCGTATCTTTTTTAACGGACATAGATTAGCGATTGACGTCACGATAGGGCACAGATTTGAGAAACGGACACATATTTGAGGCCGTACACAGATCTGAGGTTTACATATATATAACGGAACTAAAAAGAGTAGGAAAAAATTAGAGATCCGTGTCCTTGTTTTTGAGATATAAGCCATTGAAAATTTGGCGGGAAATGATTC